CCAGCCAGATTATTAGTGCCTCTACCAGCCACTGTGTGCACCAAGCAGAGCACCGCCACTGCCAACCACCGTGCGCAATACCACGCCACCGTGAGTCAAACCAAAATCACCATTGAACCATCACTTTGTATCTGACCAAAGCACCGTATCTCTTTCATTTGCTAAATTTTTTCTTCCCTGTTGCGACGTCCAAAAAGGTAACCAGCAAGTTTTTTTACTTGTGGCTAGCGTAGAATGTTTTTGTTTAATTTATTTCTTACTTGTGTTTTGAGTTGATAACTATGATAGGTTCAGTTTGGTTGAACTTGTTAAAGTACCTACGGCTTGTAATGTGAGCTGACCATTTTGTGTGTGTAGAATAGATAATGAATGTGCAAGTAACACATGTGACGAAAAAAAAAGTAAAATATCTAAAAGTTAAAGGAAGGACAACAGAATACATCTTTTCTTGCAGGAGGCTAGGATTGGATTGGTCATACTATAAATATGCAAAAGATATAAGATTCCTAAAAGTTAAAAGAAAAAATATTTTAATATAGTAAACATCAGTTTCTTTGATCCATGTTCTGCACACCTATTTTATTTTTAACTCATTCCTTTTTCCTCACAGTATAATAATGTTGGTATTAATTACGGCTCACGATATTTTGGTCAAGGATCCAAATGTTATTATATGATATGTTGTTACTATACCTGTACATAATCAACTTGATTTGAATTCTTTTTTGTGGACCGAATATATTACTATACCAAGTGTTACAATAAATTGAAATAAAAATTATCATATTAAAACTATCGTAAAGGGATAATTTAGTTGAGACAACTTGTTAATCTCATTATTTTTAGAATCATTTTGACTGGGACAGTCTGTTTGATTTTAAACCATTCAGTAATAATAAACAAATAAACAAAAAATCAAAGTTTTATTTAAAATTATTGTTTTTGGGGTTAATTTAAAACATAAAAAATAAAGAAAATTAGTTCACTATCAATAGAAATGGGAGTCAGCTAAGCCGTGACGGCTTGTTACCCCCACACATTTTGTTTTGACTCATTTTTGCCGTGACGGCTTGGTGATTCAAAATTAAATCAAATTTATCATAAAATTTACGATAACAAAAAATAATAATATGAATATTATTATTCTTTTTAAAAGAAAGGATTAGCTGAGTTGAGATAGTTTGTTAATCCTGCAATTATCATTTCGGATTATTTTAGCTGCGACAGTTTGATATTCCGAAACCATCAAATCCAAAATTTTCAAATTAATTTCTTTAAAACTACTTTCAAAATTAAAATCAATCAACACACAAATATTTTATAGAGAACGACGTAGCTTTGAATTCCTCACTGCACCGGAGGGTACGTCGGAGCGGAACTCTTTTCCGTCAAGCTAAAATAAAATTTTAATAATTTTAGTCTTTTTTTTTTTTTTTTTTTTTCTTAATTAAATAATCATATTTATTTTAAGGGATGAAGCAAATATTTTTAAAAGTTATTAATAATTCGCACAATTAATTCAAGGTAACCGTTTTTTAACGGATGTGTCAGGGGTGCAGTGGGATTAAGTTTTCACCCTTCCCTGCGCGTAATTAGACTCCCGAACCTTTGATCTAAAGTTTTAAAGACCAGTTTGCAATAAGAGGTTTTCCAATTTTTCCAAAGTAAATAAAATTGGTGGCGACTCCTTTGTTTTATTTTTTTTATTTCGGGTCGTTACAGATGGCGACTCCACTGGGGACCGAAGAGAGTCAAGCCTGTTTTAATTAATTGTGCAAATTGATTTATATATTTGCTTTGCTTCCCTTTAGTCTGTTATTTTGCTTTATTTTTATTTTATTTATTTTCTCTCTCTTTAATTTTTTTTATTTTTATTTATTTTTTTTATTTTTTTTATTTTTATGCGAAAGATGTGATGATTGGCTTCAACTTTAGGATGGAGGACTTTTTATGTTATTATGTGCTTGCTCTCAATTGTTTTGCAGATTGGATAGACTAGGGTTTATATGAAGGGTTGTATGCTCTTTCACACACGCCACTTATACATTTATCACACACGTACGAGTGGGGCCCTATACCCGGGTCTGAGTGCAACTTAAGATAGGAGAGAGGTTGTGTAGTGGTAGCCATTTTGGATGTACATCCTGTTTGGTTATCACGAAAATCTCGGCTAGAGTGTGACTCTTTCGGAATTATAGTCATTTTGGATGTACATCCTATTTGGCTATTCTCCTTCGAAATGGGATCTTAGCTCTAGTAGCCAAAATACATAGAGTTATAAAACTACCCCAACGAAAGTATTCACGTCATAGAATGACCTATGAATCAATATAAGACACAATGGGAGCGTATTTCCTTTTCACTTCTTACTTCCATTTTCGCATATTTGCATTATTTCAAAATCATCGTTCCATAAATTTATCTTTCAAACATTCATGCATCTTGCATAGTGGAGTATTTTAGGCATACGCATACCTTTCATTATAAAAAAGGATTTTATTTATTTATTTATTATTTTTTATTTTTTCATCTTGCACCATTTAGCATTTTTAACATCTCATATTGTCTACCTTAACCCCTCCAGGGAATTTTGTTAGAGAAACTTTGAGTTCCAAAGTTTGATTGTGAGTATTATTGATGGATGATAGTACGGGATCACATCGCGATGAGGTAGCACCACGCGTATTGAAAAAGACTTTGCAACTGAAAGCAAGGAAGCCTGACACTGAAAGTTTGAAGGTCTTGGGTCGAATATTGAAGAAGACACAATGTTTAACTCTTGTTAGAAAATATGGGGAAATTCTAGATCTACTGGAAGTTGATGTGCAAGTAGATGCGATCACTGCGGTTACTCAGTTTTACGACCCACCTCTGAGATGCTTCACCTTTCGAGATTTCCAATTAGCACCTACTTTGGAAGAATTCGAGCAGATTCTGGGTTTGTCTTTGGAAAAATATGAGAAACCATATCGCTACTTGGGGCATTATCCTTCTTTGCATACTATTGCCGATGTCCTCAAAGTTTCTGTGAAGGATTTGCAAGAGAAGAAACAAAACAGAAATGGGATCGATGGATTTTCAAGAAAGTACCTGGAGGAACACCTTCACCACTTAGCTGGAATTGAAGACTGGGAAGCTTTCATTGATGTGCTAGCTCTCACCATTTATGGCATTCTCATATTTCCAAATGCTGATGAGTTTGTGGACTTCGCAGCTATAGATGTGTTCTTTGCTCGCAAGTTTAGAGGTGAAAATCCTGTTCCGGCCATTCTTGCTGATGTCTACTATACTCTAAATTTCTGTCATGAGAAGAAAGGAAAAAGAATTTTGTGTTGTTTGCCGATGTTATTCATATGGCTCACTGCCCATGTCTTCAAAAGAGGATACGAGATCTCATACCCCATCACTGAGTTTCACAGATATCAGTTAGGAGTCAAGAGTGGTCGTGAATGGGCCCAAATTTTAGCACAGCTGGACGAAAAGAGCGTCCGATGGTATCCTCGATGGGTCGAAAGAGAAAATTTGATCTACCAATGTGGGGATTTCCCCAATGTGCCTCTCATGGGTACCAGAGGGTGTATCAATTACAACCCATCCTTGGCACGACGACAACTTGGCTATCCTATGAGAGGAGCTCCTACGGAGGAGATGATAACTCCATTCGTCCTTTATGATATGAACCCAGTACATAATGAGACCCTCAAAAGGGTTCGAGATGCTTGGAACAATGTCATTAGAATGGGGAAAGAGTTGAAGACCAAAAATTGTGGAGTCCAAAATAGTTACCGACAGTGGGTTACAAGTCGAGCACGAGAAGTGAAGCTACCTTTCCAAGCTCTGACAGTCACTACAAGTGGTGAATCATCAATGTCTGCCTCCCACGACAACGAAGAAATAAGAGAAATACAAGGAGAATTGGTGAGGGTTGAAGAAGAGAAGAAGAAGATTGAAGTAGAACTTAAGGAAGCTCGACAAAGATGCGAGACCCTTGAACAAGAAAATATGAAGAAGAACCTTACTCTTGAAAGAGCTGATAAAAGGGCCAAAATTGAGGAAAATTATATGCTAAAAACTAAAGGGTGCCTTCAGGCAGCAAACAAGGAATTAAGCCTCCGAAGAAATGAAAGAGATGAGGCTATTACTAAGAGCACACAACTTGAAGAGTTACTCAAAAATTCTAGTGCGGCGTATAAAGATTCAAGGAGGCAAATGGCAGAAATGGGGCGACAAATGGAGATGAGAGCTGCAAAATATGAAGACAGGCTAAAAAAGGAAAAACAGTCTACAGAGGAAGTGATCATGATGTACCAAGATGCAATTCGGAGAGAGCAAGAAGAAGTACAAAGGCTAACTGATTACATCGGAGGGCAAGATGAAATCATTGCTGCGTGCAGACATGAAGTAGCATTCTGGATGACTCGTTTTTCCAACTTAGCTGAAATCTCTAATGATGCAATTAAAAACATCCCGAACAAATTAGGAATGGCAGAGGCACTGGTGAACCCCCTCACTACTCCTGCAGAGATTCGCGACTTTATTGAGTATTGTAGGAATTTGATTGTGAAAATGAAACAATCGATCATCAGGCGCATGTAAAAGCAATGTATCCCTTTGAAACACTTGTACTATGTTATGGCTTTAATGAAGATATTTTGTTCGCTACCTATTTGTGATCCCGTATTGATATTTGATAGGACCTAGTACTTTCGAACGTGACGTTCCGAGAAATGGTCCTAAGAAAAACAATCAATGATACTCACGTCAAACTTACACGCATCAATGGTTCTCCGACAAACTTGCAATATTAATATTATTCTAAAAAATAAGAACATTGATAATAATACTCATTACGCCATCTTTACACAAAATAAAATAAACATTTTTCTTCCAAATTTAATTGCTCTCACTTGCAGAATATATTTTAAGACTCAAACATTGCGCGACCAAGGAGAAGTAATACCAATCAAACCCGAGTTCACAACACCAGATCTCGGACTAGAATGGAAGCAGGCGATCAAGAGGGGAGGAACATAAGCCAGGAAGTAGACGACGTAAGAGCTAGAATGAATACGATGGAAGATTTATTGCGAGCTTTAGCAGTGTCCATCAATGCGCAGCAACAGTCAACGACTCAGCCAGGCGGTACCCAAGGGATGAATGGGATGGGAGATGCAACGAACGATCTTAATGGTCAAACTCATACAATTCATATTGGTGAAGGATATCAGTCAATGGGGAATGCCGATGCTGAGGCACACATACAAGCTGGGACAAATGATTTCACCGCGGGACAGGCGACCGGAACCCAGTCTGGGAATGGTCACATCTCTGGTCAGAAGGATAAAATAAAGGATGGATGGATGGAGAAGATGGAAGAGAAGATCAAAGCTATTCAGGGCCCTAGTGCTTACGGATCTCTTGGGGTGGAGGAATTATGCTCCACGATGGACGTGATTATCCCTAAAGATTTCAAGGTCCCAGATTTTTGTAAGTATGATGGAAGTACAAACCCAATTATCCACTTGAAGACGTACTGCACGAAGATGGCAATATGGTCCAAAGATGAGGTCTTCCTCGTTAGTTTCTTCCATGAGAGTTTGGCCGGTCCAGCATTAGAGTGGTACATCCAGATGGATCATTCTAAAATTGCCTGTTGGAAAGACTTGGCAGACGCATTCATGAACCAATATCGCTTCAACTTAGATACTGCCCCAACTAGGGAACAGTTAGGGGCTTTGCAAAAGGTGAATGATGAAACCTTTAAGCAGTATGCCCAGAGATGGAGAGCTCTTGCTGCACAAGTCCAACCTCCGCTGACACTGTCTGAAATGTGCTCTTATTTTCTAGGGACTTTAGGAGCTCCATATGTTGGAACGATGGCCGGCGCTGCGTATCGTGACTTTGCTGATCTCATAGCGGCAGGGGAACGAATTGAGATATTGGCCAAGGCTGGAAAGCTGCCAATGGACTACAGGCAGAGTAGCCCTCCTAAAAAAGGGTTGCAATCCAAGAAACGAGAATCTGAAGTAAATCATGTCAAACAACAACAATTTTTTGTTCCTCAATACCCCATGCCAAACCCAGTCCACCAAATACTATCGTACCATCCTACCCCGTATCCCTCTTACCAAACCCCCACATTCTCTCAGCCGCCGCCACAAAACTTCCCAAATTTAAGCACTACGCCCACCCCACATTTTCGTGTAAATAACATACCTACCCCATCACCATATGTGCCAACTCGTCCGTCTTATGCTCCTCGTCCCCCCACACGTCCACAGTATCGTCCAAATTACACTCAACCACAGCAAAACTCCCAAAACCAAACCCCTTTTCGTCCCCAAAATCTTCCACCATTTCCAAGGCTGTCTATCTCCAATACGGATTTATTCCAACGTCTGTTTGATGCTCATTTGATCTCGGAAAACCCTGTGCGCCCAATGCAACCTCCGTTCCCAGCATGGTATAATCCAAATTCTACTTGTAGATATCATATGGGAGTGGCAGGACATTCCATTGAAGATTGTGAGGCCTTCAAAACAGCAGTAAGAAAGTTGATTGCTTGCGGAAGATTGGATATCCAAGAAGAGACTGGGCCTAATATTGTCAATAACCCCATCCCGAGTCATGAAGGAAAGAATCAGGTGAATGCTATAGAAACAGAGGATACCGTGATAAAGAAAGTTCTGAGTCTGCGTACACCCATGTCGGGTATATGGGAGTGTTTAAAGAAAGCTGGTTATGACATCACGGTGCCAGGGCGTTTCATGAAGGATGATGAAAAATACGATGATGAGTCAAGTTGTGCGTACCACAATGGACACACAGGACATGATATTGAAAACTGCTGGGATTTCAAAGTCCGAATCCAAGGCTTGATCGCATTGGGTATCATACAGGCCAGGCGAAAGAATGCTTTTCCTGAAGAGGTTAATATAGTAGAACGCTTTGTACTTCGGGTGCCACCTATTAACAAGCATCCTGTGCCTGAGAAAATGGTCATGAAAGTGAAGAAACCAACGCCTTTTTCTTATAATGATACTCATGCAGTACCGTGGAACTACGAGACAAGTGTTGAAGAAATTGGAAACACCTCGAGAGCCAATGTTGATGATACTCGCTCGGTGGAAGAATCAATGAACACAATGAGAGTGGGGGAAGTCACGAGAAGCGGGAGATTCTATTGCCCGAAAGAACTAGAAATGAAGAAAAATGGAAAGGAAGAAGGAGGTGAAGGAATCATCAACAATGAAAAGAAAGAAGGAAAAGAGGAAGATGAGCTCTTAAAGATCATGAAGCAAAGTGAATACGATGTGATGGAACAGTTGAAGAAAACTCCAGCTAGGATATCACTTCTGCACTAATCCTCTCATCGGAATCTCATCGAAAGGCGCTCATGAATATGTTGAGTGAGGCTTATGTCAAGTCAGATGTTACTCCTGAAAACGTGGTCAACATGGTAGATCCAGTGAAACATGTTAACATGATCACATTCTCAAATGATGAAGTTGTCTGTTCATCGGAGAAAACCTCGAAAGCTCTGCATATAACGCTGAAATGTAAAGGGTATATTATAGCCAAGGTTTTGATTGACGGAGGATCAGCACTAAATGTCCTACCACTGTCAACTTTGTCTCAGCTATCGATGAGCACGAATGATTTAACCCCTCAAGAGATGATTGTGCGAGCTTTTGATGGTACAAAGAGAGGAATTCTAGGGGAGATAGTTTTACCCTTAGAGATAGGCCCGAGTAATTTTCAGGTTTTATTCCAAGCCATGGATATCGAACCTGCCTATACCATGCTCCTGGGTAGACCTTGGATCCATGCAGCAGGTGCTGTGCCTTCTACCCTGCATCAAAAGGTCAAATATATCGAGAATGAGTTGATTGTCACCATCCATGGAGAAGAAGAAATCATGGTTTCTAAACCGGTCTCGGTGCCGTATGTTGAAAACACAGATCCCATAGAAGGAAATGGGTGGCATAGTTTTGAAGTTGTTGAATCTAGTTGCAAAAAAGATGAATCACTGGGGCAAGGTGTGAATGAGATAATCGCTCGAATTATGGCCAAGAGTGGATATAAGGTGGGTAAAGGTTTGGGCTCGCAGCTGCAAGGTAGCCGATCACCTATAATGGTTCCAGAAAAATCAAATAAATTTGGTTTAGGGTATGAAGGGTCGTTTGAGGAAAAAGTTGAGAGAAAAAGAGGCAACAAGGGCAAGACGCAACAAATTCCCCATCTAAGAGAAACATTCCCGGTGCCAGCAGAGGTTATTATGCCTGAAGAGGTCGTTCATCTCCCACATATCAATGCACTGGATGATGAAGACCTAGAAGGATGCAGCACGATTCGTCTGTCCACTAATGATGAAGCATTGAAGAATTGGCAGACAGAGCCAGTTATTGATGTGATTGCTATGAAGTAATTGTCTAGTTGATTTGTATTAGCAGCTGTTTGAGCCATTTTGAAACTTATGTTATGTTGCGCGAGACATTAATTAAGTAAATGAATTTGTATGGATTTTCAGTAATTTTAATTATTTCTCATCCAATTTGGTTTTTTTTTTTTTTTTTTTTTTTTTAAATTCTTTAACCAGCGTTATTATTATCATTTTTCTTCTTCTTTTCTCACGTTCATCCTTTCATTATTCCTTGCATTCTTACTTTTGTGCCATTATATCTGTTGTATTCCAACTCCACATAAATTACTTTCCAGGAATCTTGATCTCATTGAAACTTTGCCTCATGAAAGGGACCTTGAAAACTCACCGATTGATTCTCTTGTGGCTATCAATGAAGAAGATCCGGGGTCTGATGAGGAGCAAATAGTAGAAGAATTTTCAAAGTTGTTAGAAGGCTCGGAAAAGAAATTTGATTTGAATGATGAGGTGTTTGAGTTGATCAATATGGGCACTGAGGAAGAGAAGAAAGAATTGAAAATTGTTGATAATCCCGAGCGGGAAGAGATGATTCAATTATTCAAAGAGTATCTAGATGTCTTTGCATGGACGTACCGAGATATGCCTGGAGTAGATCCAAGGATTGCATCACATAAAATTCCCTTGTACCCGGATGCTGAACCAAAAAAGCAGAAGTTAAGGAGGATGCGCCCAGATATATCCCTGAAAATTAAAGAAGAGGTGACAAAGTTGTTAGAGGCAGAATTTATAGAAGTCTCAGTATACCCAGATTGGGTAGCCAACGTAGTGCCTGTGCCTAAAAAGGATGGAAAAATCCGCGTGTGTGTAGACTACAGGGATTTAAATAAAGCTTGTCCGAAGGATGATTTCCCACTTCCTCATATCGATGTGCTTGTTGATAATACGGCCAAGTATCATACATTCTCATTTATGGATGGATATTCGGGGTATAATCAAATTCTCATGGATGTTGATGATAAAGAAAAAACTGCTTTTATTACTCCTTGGGGGACATTTCGTTATAGAGTGATGTCATTTGGACTAAAGAATGCAGGGGCTACTTATCAGCGCGCTATGGTTGCATTATTCCACGACATGATGCACAAGGAGATTGAAGTGTATGTGGATGACATAGTTGCTAAGTCAAAAGAAGGGGGGAGTCATGTGAAAGTCCTGCAAAAGTTGTTCGAACGACTCCGAAAGTACCAGTTGAGATTGAACCCTAGCAAATGTGTTTTTGGCGCATCCTCAGGAAAATTGCTCGGTTTCATTGTTAGTAGAGAAGGAATACAGGTGGATCCAGAAAAAGCAAAAGCAATACGAGATATGCCCGCTCCTAAATCAGAGCGAGATGTGAGAAGCTTCTTGGGACGACTCAATTATATTGCTAGATTCATTGCAAACTTAACTAGCACTTGTGAGCCTATCTTTAAGCTATTGAGGAAGAATCAACCAGGGAAGTGGGATGAAGACTGCCAGAAGGCATTCGACAAAATAAAGGCTTACTTGTTGAACCCCCCTATCTTGGTACCGCCAACGCCAGGTCGCCCTTTGATTTTGTATTTGACTGTGCTGCCCACCTCCATGGGAGCAATGCTGGGGCAACATGATGAGTTTGGTAAGAAAGAGAAAGCTGTGTACTACATTAGCAAGAAGTTCAATGAATGTGAGGTTCGTTATATGGCAATCGAGAAGACGTGTTGTGCTCTAGTGTGGAGCTCGAAAAGACTACGACAGTACATGTTGTATTACACCACCTGGTTGATATCTCGAATAGATCCTTTGAAGTATATATTTGAAAGCCCTCATATTTCTTTAAAGGTCTCAAAATGGCAGATGATATTGTCAGAATTTGACATCCAATACGTGACTCGGAAGTCGATCAAGGGAAGCGCAATTGCAGATCACCTAGCTGAAAATCCCATTGAAGACGACCAGTCAATGCAAATTGAAATTCCAGGCGGGGAAATACTGGCAGTAGAAGAAGATGAGATTGAGAAAAGTGCATGGAAAATGTATTTTGATGGGGCAGTTAATATGCACGGCAGTGGTGTAGGAGCAGTGGTCATTTCACCAACCGGCAAGCAATACCCGGTGGCCATCAAGCTGGACTTTGAATGCACCAATAACATTGCAGAATATGAGGCTTGTGCAAGCGGTCTACGTCTTGCGATCGATTTAGGAGTGAAACTGTTGGAAGTATTTGGGGATTCAGCTCTTATCATTTACCAGGTGAATGGCGAGTGGCAGACTAAAGATGCGAAGTTGGTGCCCTACCAAAAGTACTTGACTCGATTGATTGCAGAGTTTGAAGAAATAGAATTCTCGCATTTAACTAGAGACAAGAATCGATTTGCAGATGCTCTAGCCACGTTGGCTGCAATGACTAAGCTGGATATCCTCAGTGATGTCCAACCTATCCAAGTTGAGATGAGAGATGAACCAGCTCACTGCGCTAGTGTGGAGAACGGGCCAGATGGTAAACCTTGGTACTTTGATATCAAACAGTATATTCAGCACAGAGAATACCCAACTGGGGCAAACGAAGCCCATAGGAAGACCGTTCGCCGGTTGTCGATGGCCTTTTTCTTGAACGGAGAAATTTTGTACAAGAGAAGTCATGATGGCACCCTTTTAAGATGCGTAGATGCTCGTGAAGCTCACTCAATCATGATTGAAGTCCATGAGGGAATTTGTGGGACTCATGCCAATGGACATATGATGACGCGCAAGATTATGAGGAGCGGATATTATTGGTCCACCATGGAGGCAGATTGCGTAGAACATGTTCAAAAGTGCCAAAAGTGTCAAATGTATGCAGACCGTATCAATTCACCGCCTTTTCCATTACACAATATGGTGTCTCCTTGGCCGTTCTCGATGTGGGGAATAGATGTTATTGGTTTGATCAATCCAAAGGCCTCGAATGGGCATCGCTTTATCCTGGTAGCAATAGATTATTTTACCAAGTGGATAGAAGCCTCATCGTATGCCAACATTTCACAAAAGGTGTTTGTCAAGTTTCTCAAGAGAGATATCATTTCCAGATATGGGATTCCAGAAAGGATAATTACAGATAATGCTCCTAATCTTAACGGTGCAGAAGTACGAAAACTATGTGAGCATTTCAAGATCAAGCATCACAACTCAGCTCCTTATAGACCTCAGATGAATGGTGCAGTTGAAGCAGCCAATAAGAATATCAAAAAGATCATTGCCAAGATGGTTGTGAGTTATAAAGATTGGCATGAGATGTTACCCTATGCTTTACACGCGTATCGAACCAATATACGTACGAGTACTGGGGCAACACCTTTCTCCTTGGTATATGGAATGGAGGCTATCTCTCCGATAGAAGTTGAAATTCCTTCATTAAGGGTTTTGATGGAGGCAGAATTAGAAGAGTCCGAATGGGTGAAAGCACGATATGAACAACTGAACATGATTGAAGAGAAAAGATTGACAGCTGTTTGTCACGGGCAGTTGTATCAGGGTAGAATGGCTAAAGCCTTTAACAAGAAAGTCCGGCCGAGGGAATTCCAATCAGGTGATCTGGTCTTAAAAAAAATCTTGCCTAATCAAGAAGATGCTAGAGGAAAATGGGCTCCAAATTATGATGGCCCTTATGTGGTCAAACATGCTTTTTCTGGGGGAGCATTAATTCTACAAGACATGGAAGGGCAGGAGTTACGAAGACCAATAAATACTGATGCTGTCAAAAGATTCTATGCCTAAAAAAAAAAAAAAAAAAAAAAAAAAAAATATGAAAAAAAAGGGAAAGCCTGTTAGATTGAAAACCCGGAAGGGCGGTCTAAGCAAAAATTAAGACAGATAAAAAGAAAATTTGTTAGGCTGAAAACCCGACAAGGTCACTCAAGCAAAGTTAGGCAGACAAAATCAGTTAGGTTGAAAACCCGCAAGTGCAACTTGGACATTAAAGAC